TAGAAAATGAGCTTCTTTTAAGCTGGAGTATATAGTATGTATTCGGCCTATTGAGGCTGGTGTATATTCATAGAGTACTCAACCAAATAATAAATGCATTGAAAAAAGAAAAGAAAAGAAAATGAAAATTCCATTTTTTATATTCCTAAATAAAAAGAAGATTTTAATTTTTATTTGAACTTTGATTTTTTCAAATAAAGAAATATAAAATGGTGTATACAAATTTTGATTATATCATTGTTTTTTTTTTTTTTTCATTATATCAATTTATTTTTACCATAATATTATTAATATTATTAATAATTTATAATTTTTGTAAGCTGACGACAATAATAGTTCCATTATAGGGTTGCCAGATGGGTATGTCAAATAAGAACTATTTATTTAAGGCAACTGAAAAACTCAAACTTTTAATAATTAACTTTAATATAAGTATATGAGTAAACTTAAATTTTTTAAATTTTTATTTGGATTTCTCTCGCTTAAGTTCTTATACACTCATTTCTAAAAACAAACAAAAAACAACTTGAAAGGAATTACCCTATTTATATATGCTGTTGTAGAGCATGTGAATAAAGCCTTTGTGAAGTTAATTTCCACCACCTAGGAAACTACGAACACAATTAATGTCTATTGTCATTGCTTTACATACACACACACACACAGCTAAATACCTACATACGTATACTCATTCACGAAAATGAAATGAGTATAACGTCTTGCGGTCCGTACGTCCGTCTATTCGCATTATTGACTCTGAAACATATATACGTCTTCAGATGCTTTTAATCCCTAGCAGAATTAATCCTCCTGCAGAATTTGTGTAGTGAATGCGTATTCTGCCGTCGGTAACAGCCGACATTCTAGTTTCATATCTATATATATTGACACGGCATGTATGTAAGTATGTGTGTATGTCATAGATCCCGTCCCATGAGTTTTCTTCTGTGCCGTCGACTTCGCGACCAACTGGCATTAAGGAGCTTTTGTTGAGCGTTACCTATTGTTTTCTGATTTGACATATGTAAAGCCCTCATATGCCACGCGACCCCATGCCATCCGTCAGCCAGCGTTTCTCCCGCTTATGGCTGAGCACTTGACTGCAGCTTGTCACAATCAGACTAATGTGTTTTGTGGCTACAAAAAAAAGTGAAAGAAAAGAAAAGTTGAGAAAATGAAAATGAAAACAAATAAATAACATACAATGTTTTGCAGGCGAACGATAAATGCGCTCGATCTCGATATAAATTGCGTTGGAAAACCAAGAAAAATATATGATTGTTGGAGCTAGTAGGACAGTTTTCAATATGCTGCTATGAATAGAGCATGTAGACCAATTAATAATTATAGATATATATCTATTACTCTGCGGCTCAGTTCAAGTCGAGCTATAAATATTTTCAATAGCAACTGGGTTAATAGAAGCAACCCTTGGTCCGCTTTGGCGGGTGCAACGATGCGTATGATTAACACAAAATGGTCATATTATTCATACAACGCGCTGGCCTGAACCGGAGACTGAGCCCCCAGCGCGAAGGGCAATGAATAAGGGACTGAAAAACGAATATATACTAAATATATATATGCGAGTGTATGTATATATGTATATATTTTATGGGCAACAGGCACAACTTAATTAAGACGCTCGCTTGGTTTCGAATGCCGCCCTGTTGCATTTTGAGGTTTTCGTATTTTTTCGTCTTTACTTTACGGTTTTTTACTTTGCAACTATGCCAACTTTTAATTAAAATATGTAAACGCCAGATTTAAAAGTCCGGTTTCTCTGGACGCACAAAATTAATTTCCACGATTTTCTTTTTTTTTTACGGGGCTTGGCGCCGAAACCATGTGAAAAAGTGTAATTTGAGTAAAATTCATGAGCAAAGCAATTCACGAAAAACAATTAGAAAAGTGTAATTAAAATTATAATTTTATTGCGGCACTTTTGAGATATTTAAGTTTGGAAAATTCACATATTTACATATATACAATGCCTCTGGTCATCAAATGATGAATATTATTCAAAGGACGAGCTAATAAAACGAAAAGAGAGATCAATTTTATGGAGTAAAAAAAATAGTAATAATAGTTGTTATTATTTATTAATTTTAAACAAAATATTTATACATATTTATAAAAATAATTATTTATTTTATATTTTAAAAAATTATCATACAGAATGTTCGCCAACAAGATCACCAACAATTCCTGGATTTTTTCTCCTATCCACAAGAAGTTGTAGCTGTTCATACACATGTCCAAAAATGTTAAATCTTTATAGAAAGACGGACGAGAGAATAAACGAAAAAGCTGAATACACTCAGCTAGAAATTCATGGGTATAGAATGAATGCTCCGCCTTTAATTTAGCATTAGCTGAGCTTAATTTTGTTTTAAGTTTGTGTGCAGCTAAGTCGACTATATTTTTTTTATCGTTGACAGTGCAATTGATGCAGAGTGTATACCCTAACTGGCAAGGCACGTTTGCTTTTGCGGCCATTAAAATATTTACTAAACACTTGAACTCAACAACTGTGAGCTGACCTTTAGCTGGAGCACAAACACAGGCACAAACACTCCAATGTAGCGTTAGCCGCCCCGCCACTCCTGGCCCCCTCGCCAACAGAGCTCTGACACTTCTCATCTAGTTCATATACATGTACGTCAGAGTGCGTCTGCATGGCAGGGCATGTAACTTCCGCTCCAGAAACTTGAGCGCTGACGTGCTGCTTCGACTGCAGCGCAAAGGATAATCAACAACGAGAAGTGGCAGGAGGAGCAATAGAAGGAGAAGAGGAAGAAGACCTTAATGGAACACTCACCAGATTGGTGTTGCGCTTGCTATGGGTGGACATGCGTCGATGAAATATGCGCGCCGGCTCCGTCTCAATTTCGGATTCCGTCTCGGACTCCTCGCCATCGCGACTTATCGATATGATCGGTATGATGGGCACGGGGGATACGCTGCCCGAGCTGCAGGCGCTGCTCAGTCCGCTGCTCAAACTGCGCTGTCGCGGACTCAAGTTGTCCACGTGCAGCGTATTGGGTTTTAAGCTAGCCATTGTTCAGGGTTGTCGTTTAACTTTAGCTTTGTAGTTGTTGCTGCTGTTGTTTAGGTTGTTGTTGTTGTTGATGTTATTATTGCTGCTGTTGGTGCTGCGAGGCAAGTTTCGCGTTGCACGTTTCCACGTTTTACGTCCAACGTTTTAGCTGTCACGTTGCGGAGCTCTTTACAGTTATATAAAAGTAGAACCCTTTGTGGGGTATCCGTCAAGTAGCCGCAGGTGGCCGTTTGAGCTGCTGCTGTCGCCGCCGTCGCTGCTGCAGACGCTGCCACCGCTTTCCATGCTGCGTTGCTTATATAAAAGTCCACTCACACACATATACACAGTTTGTTAGAGCAACTCACACACACATACATCTCTACACGAGCATACACAACATACACGCACACAGGCACGCCTTCCGTTACTTTTTGACAGTTGTTGTGCGGCTGCTCTGCTTTGAGAATACGTTAATTTCAATAATAAGCTTTATTAATTATAGACTAAAGTGTATACATTTACGATGAAATTAGCAAAAATATTTGCACATTTAATTATATGTACGTATATGTGGTATATATACTATATTGTATATTATATATATATTTAATTAAGCAACACTAACTATTTTTATTTTAATTGGAAAGCCATTAATCTAACGCACACTCATTAATCTACACTTAGAAAAAACACTAGCAAAAACGTTCGCACACAAAAAATAGTTCATACCTATATTTCAATGTTATACAAATTGAATACTTTTTAGTTTCTTTATTGAATAATTGTACAAAAAATAAAACGGAGTTGGTTATGCCGCCGCTGGAAATTATTGTTGAATTTTGTGCTACACTAGAATTATCGTTTTGGAGCTGGGTTATATTCCGCTGGCTGACTTCACTACGAGCTGCGAATAGCGTGCTGAGCCTGAGCCGCGCGGCGTACTGAACGAGACCGCAACCCTCACTGCTGGCGGCCGACGAACGCCGCATAGACTTAAGCTTGCTAGTACGGGCACCGGATGCCGTTATCCTTAGAGGGTTGTCGAGCTTCCAATGAGTATATTTATAGATCGAAATTCATTGGTGATAGTACATCAGTACATGCTGTATTTAAACGGTCTGAAGTGAGCTCAGGCTAAACAACTGCATAAACCTCTAATATCACTTAGTCTTATATTTTTTAAATTTAATAAATGCCAGAAATAGTATGCTACACTTTCTAAGCAATATTGAATCCACATATTAAGATTAACTGGCAACCCTACACAATGAGAGCACAATAGCCTTCAACCAACAAGTTTTTGTGCTCTCTGCTTTTGCCGCAACTTTCGCACAGTAGCACAGGCCCCAGCCCCAGTTGAATATTCGCTCTCACATACCTGCTCTCTTGCTCACACATTGTGAGTGTGTAAAAGCTCTAGAAGGCGGCCGCTAAGCGAAGCAAAGCTTCTAGTCAGGCAAATGAAGCGAGCAAAACAAAAATGCGCAAGCCGAAGAGTATGCAAAACGTAAATGACAACAAAGTAAACAGAAGAGCGCACATGAAGGAGGCAGGTACCGAGTGAACAAAGCAGCGGCGGTGCGGTTTGCCTACACAAAAAGTCACAAGCCGCTAGGCAGACAGTTATGGGTTAAGCTTTCTGCGCCTGTTGTTCTTTTTTCCGGTGTTGCGCTTCGCATGGGCTTTCGTTATTTACTTTGCTGTCGACTTGCCTATGCTCTGTGTTGTCATTGTGTTGTTTTTGTTGTTGCTGGTGTGTTTTGAGACATGCACATCCCGTGGGGCATTACTCTTTTCGCTTGGCTGCAGTTACACGAGAAAACCTCTATGCATGTGTGCGGGTGTGGGAGCCATATGTGTGTTGTATGCTTATTAAATTTTAAACTAACCTTGTTTGCTTTTCATTTGTTGCGGCCGTTATTTGCAATTCACGATATTAAATATAACCTCACATAAATTAAATATTAATATTACGTTTTTAATGTCTGCACATAGAATTTCTCATCGTATTTCTCAGGAATCCTGAACGCTGCTGTCGAACACCCAGTCATAACGATCCGCTTTGAGAGTTTCACGTCGCATGCCCTAAGTCAATGGAAATCAATTAGTTTTCGGAGAGTACTGTACCAGAACTCCATCGACTTACGCGTGGCAGCGTAAGACATCGCCGAAACCGCATACAATGCCTGCCCTGCGTCTTGGGGCAGGTGCGACAGAACTCATACAGAGTGGGACTTAAGAGGAAACCGCCCCAGTTGGGGGGCACAGGCACTTTAGGCAGCCGCTGCTCGCTGAGGATCAGAGAGAGACACTTCTTGATCTTGCCCAGCAGACTGCGTTTCCTAGTTTGTATGCCGTGCATGCTGAGCTGCACTTCACGCGGATAGCGCGCGAACTGCAGCTGCGCCTGCAAGGCGGACACCGGACTCACAGTCCCGGCAATGTGCACACTGCGCTCCAGGTGTGGCCAATACATCTGCAAGGAGACATGTGGATTGGCGTGGATCTCGCCTGCCAGGCGACTGCCCAGCGCCGTGTAGAACGTCAGCCCAGAGGCGTTAATCTGCTCGACGCTGGTCATTCGCGTGACCGGCTGGCCCGCCTCGTCCACCGTGGCCAAACAGGCCACACGCGCCTTGCTCTGCGGCTCCATGTCCATGGCGATCGACAGCCAGTGATGCAGTATCAGATACGGCTCCCGGATGGCAATCCTGTTGTGCCAACTGTCCGGCTGAGCTGCAAGTTCCGCTATGGCTACATTCCGCATCACACACTCCCTACGGCCACGGGGTGACAGCAAAAGCCGCGCAACTGCGACACCCCGGAGCCTCTGTCTCAAAGCCCCTCCCAACCTCATTCGTAGTACTCACGAGAACTACGTGCCCCATAGGTTTTTAATTTTTTTAATTTTATTTCAAATACAATTTTGAAAGCTGACCTGAAAGCAAAAGCAATATCAATTGACTTAAATTGAAGAAGTTTGGGAGTCGAGATTATCTCCATAGTAGAAAGAGTTGTTATCTGAACTCCATTAGATATCGAGATTATCGTCATAATAATATAGAAGAATACATATAACTTGTGTAATTGTGGTATTAGTTAAAAGTTTTGTTATTTATGGGGATATCTAAGTGAATACATATTCGAGTTACAATTTCAAATATGATTATTTACATAAGTGTAAAGAAATATCGGATCTGAAGAACCCATTCAAACTTGTGATTTGTTTTCTTTACCTTTACTTTCTGGCTTTAGTTTGAAATGCACATTTTAAGTTTCTCTATTTATTATCCATTTTAAATATTTTTATAATATATGCTAATTTAATAATTCGATCGCTTAGGTTTTTCATAACTTTTAACTTTTGTTTACAATTCATCTTTTTTAACCATTTTCTATATTACTATTCATTTCAATTATTTGTTTAATCATCTACATAAAACATCTGATCTATGATATTTTACACAGTTTTATTTCGGACAAATTATCAAGCATTTTGGAAGACATAACAAATGCGCAGCATTTAACTTTTAGCTGTCTCTCGCCCTTTCTTTGTCTTTCTTTAAGGTGCTAATCGCTCATAGACCCAATCATTCTCGCCTTTATGAATGAGCTCTCCGTCCACCTCGTCGAGAACTCCAGGGCCACGTCGGAAGCGTATGCGATCGTGCAGGCGATCCGTTTGTCCCTGCCAGAACTCGATGAGCGATGGGCGTACCAGGTAGCCACCCCAATTGGGCAGCGGTACCTGGCCACTCTCGCCCAGCTTGGCCTTGATCTCCGCTTCCACCTCGTCCAGATAGCTGCGCGAGCGTATGCGTTGGCTCTGCGGACTGGCAGCGGCTCCGATTTGACTAGCGCGTGGACGCTCGTGGAAGTATTTCAGGGATGCATCCCTGGAGATCTTTTCAGCGACGCCTTCGATGCGAATGCTGCGACGCAGGGGGAGCCAGTAAATGGCGATGGCCACATTGGCATTACAGGCAATATCCTCGGCTTTGCGACTGCCATAGTTGGTGAAGAAGGTGAAGCCCTCGGTGGTGGCTTCCTTAACCAGGACAAAGCGATTGGAGGGCTTGCCCTCAGCGTTAACCGTGGCCAAGGCTGCAGCATTTGGCTCGAGGATCTCCTTTGTATTGAGAGCATCGTTTAGCCAGTCACGAAATATGACAAATGGATCTTTTATCTTAATGTTCTCCTCCAGAAAGGCATCCTTGCGCTCATGGTATTTCAAGCGTAGCGCTGAAATGGTTACCAAATAAATTTTATAAAAAATTGCAGTTGGAACAATCGAAATCTCACCTGAAAGTTGTTCTATAGAAGCTGGTTGGCTCATCTTACGCACAATTTGCAAAAGTCTCACTGCAGTTGGAAGGGAATTGTGTAATATTTAAGTGACGTTAGTCTTAGATACGGTAACATTAACGTACTTGTCAAAGGTCAAATTAAAAATTGTACACCGAAGTGCTTTGTTTATGATTGACCGCAATCTAGAGATAAGTGGAACAGCTGTTTATATGCGCAGCGTTGCCAGCACGTTGACGTTTGTTTAAAATATTGCTTAAAATATACCATAAAAATACCGAAAGAAACTGTTGTGTAAATGAAATGCAGCGCTCATTTAAGCCCAAAAGTATGCCATTAATGTATACTTCATTGAAATATATAAATATATTTATTCATTTAATTTAAATATTAGAAAAGAAACTCAAATACAAACTTCAAAATAAGCCACCAGATTGTGAAGAAAAAGCAGCACAGAGAGCGCATGTGTGTGTGAGAGCTTACGACATAAAGAGCGAGAGCGATGTTTGGTTGTTGTTTTTTTTAGCTTTCGTGACTTACACCGTTTACTGTTTCTATCCTGGCTGCTGCTTGAATAGCGAAAGCGAGCGGAACGAGCCCACAGAACAAGTTCAACACGAACGGCTGCTGGACGTGTGTGAAAGCATAGCGCATAGAGTGCGGAGCGCAAGAGAGAAAATATAGAGAAAGGCTAAAGCGGGGCAAACACATACACACACACATAGACGCACAGACAGTGACACATTCACATTCACACGCACAGGCACATACACACGATTAGAGATTAATAATACAAAACTAAGTTGAATACGAAAAAGCTGAAATAACAGTTATTTATAGTAACGCGCTTGAAGTGATTGTGCGTAAAAACGCTCTGCGAATTTCTGCAACAAAAAAGTGGGTTAAGACGAAAGCTTTGCGAGAAAACAATTCTTTTGAGGTCGCTCGTAAAAGCATTCTACATTTTTTCGTGGCCATTGTTGTGTTGTTGTTGCTGTTGCTGGCAGTAGTTAAAAAAGCGTTGCAGACATCGGTTGCATGTGTGTATGCGGCGGGGCAGAAGTGAAAAAATGCAGTGCAGCAGCAAAAACAAAAACGAAGCAAAGCAAATGGCTTGATAGGCAACTAAATATTTAACAATTTAATTATAACATACCCAAAAACGAACGTGATATTTTACAACTGTGGCCTGCTTTTAGCACAGTACAAAACAACAACAACAAAACACACACAGAAACATACACACGTACAGACACACACCAACACACACGCAAACTACATATATAGCAATATATGCCCATTGAGTGCCTTATATCATTTGATAATAATCCACAAGGTGTCTACTATGCCGGACAGGAACTATCTGGCGTTGTTGATCTCAGCGTCGATGCGACCAAGCGCATTAAAGGTAAATTAACTTGTGTATACCCTAACCTAACCTAATAGTCGCGGACACACGCACACACACACACATGAGTCATACAGAGTATGAGTAATATGTTTATTACTCACACATTAAATTTGCACCGAAACACACACATTTCAATTGCCGAAGGACACGCGCTGTTGTCCTTATTAAACATCAAACTTTATCTCGTAAATAAATGTCGCCATTTTGAATGTGCTGTGCAATTAATAGTTGTTGCTGTTGTTGTTGTTGTTTTCGTTGTTGTTGCTGTCCCCGCTGAGTTGACCAGCAGCTCGTTACCGTTATTTGCCTGCTGCACAGTTGGTTGTTTGCCTTGCACTCTCTCACTCTGTTCCTTCTCCTCTCACTCTGCCTGTCAGTCCGTCTTGCTCTTTCGCTCTTATTTTCTTGTTTTTGTTGCTGTCGTCGGTTTGTGTTTGGCGTCTGTTTTGGCATGCCGCCATTTTTTATTTATCCATGAACTCGTTAAAGGCGTGGTAAGTGCAATTCATTTGTTGCCGTTGTTGTTGTTGTTGTTGTAGTTGTCGCTTTTGCTGTTGTCATCGTCATGTTTGTTGTTGTCATTGTAGATGATGACGATAAAGTTGTCCGTGTGCATTTTAATTTTGTGGTAATAAGTTTTTTTCGTCTGACATTTCACTTGATTAGTTTACTGAAAAGTTGAACAGCAAGCGAGAGATAGAGAGAGAGAGAGAGTGACGCAAAGGGGGAAATAGACAGGAAATAGAAAACTTAATTTAGGAGAATTTCAAATCTATTAAGTACGAAACAAGTTGTACACAAATATGAAAGTTGAGTAGGACTTTCTTTTATATGATGCAGATATTAGATAGATAGTCCATCCAAATGATATAAAAACTATTATCTACTACTTAAAGTATTACTATCAACATAATTTAATCATTATCATATTCATTCGCTGATCAGCTAAGTCATTCTCCTTTGTCTATCTCTTTCACCCTCTCTTTCTCACGAACTCTCTTTCTCTCTTTCTATGTCTACTTCTCTTATAGGCATTCATGTCACCGTCAGCGGTTATGCCAAGATACGCTGGATAAAAAAGGGATATCCGCGGGACAGCGAACGTGCCATGTGTCGTGCCTATCGATCTTATCTGTCATCGCGATCGTATGTCCTTGGCTCCTGTGCGGGCAACTCGTGCATCGATTGGCTGGCCGGCGAATACTCGTACACGTTTCACGTCATACTGCCCGATAATCTGCCCACATCCTTTGACGGCAAGTATGGTCAAATACACTATGAGATCATAACGACGATCGAGCGATCGGGTCGCTACCCGAAAGTGTTCAAGCTGCCATTTACCGTGATACAACCATTGGACCTGAACGCCGATGCCATCTACAAAGTGCGAGTTCCTTATATATCAAATATGCAGATATTTGTCTAATGTGTGGTTTCAGGTACCTCTGGAGATACTCGATCGCAAGCGCTTCTGGAGCTTTTGCTGCCCAACGGGGCCGCTCACCGTCAAGTTCTCGACCCCCTACTGCGGCTATGCGCCCGGCCAGAAGATCCATTTTGTTCTGTACATCAACAACGAATCGTCGATCGATATAACCGAGTGCGAGGTGAAGCTGAAGCAGGAGGTTAGCTACGAGTCGCACGATCCGCAGCATGAGTATCGCTATGACAAACACCTGATAGCCTTAAAGCAGTTCGGCAACGTGTTGCGCTGGTCACGCAAGGTGTACAGGGGATATTTGGATCTGCCCTCGATACCGCCGACGTCGGTGAAGCCGACCTGCCCCATTAGCGTTAACTATTCGATTAAGATCATTGTGAATCCGACCGAGTTCCATTGGAAGCTGAAACTCAAAATTCCGCTTACCATCGGCAGCATACCCATCATGGATGGACCCGATGCGCTGCTCCGTTTCAATCGCCAGCAGCAACAGCATCAAGTAGTTAGTCAACACTTTCAAATGTCAACGCGGCAGAACCAAAGGCCGCACCGACCACCGCAACGTGGCAGCCTACTGAGCAGCAGCAACAATAGTAGCAACAGCAACAGCAACAGTAACAACAACAACAACAATCAGGCAACACATGCCCTGCAGCGATCGGGTGCGATACTGCCGGCCCAATCGAGTCCCTCAACAATGCCAACGACTGCCGACCTGAGGCCAATGGCCACCATGCCAGCGATATTAGTGACCAGCGATAGCGATAGTCCCCCAGATTATATACCCATGAGTAAGAAAATGTAAAGCTAAGTTATATATTTATGTTTCTATCCAAAGATACTGTGATAACATGGAGTATAAAAAATTCAATTTTATATTGATTTAGATATTAGCTGGATGCACCTCTATACCTAGCCAGAATAGTGAAGGTTTATTTCTTTACAGTATATACCTTTTATAAGGAACTCCATTTGAATGGCGTACAAAAGAATTACATTTTATTGTAATATTGACATTTACAAGGAACTCTTTCTTGTTCATATGAAAGATTAGCTAATAAGTTAAAATTAATATGTATAAAATGTTTGAGATATTTTAGAATAAGGATATTTAAAACTAACTAGTTAGGCAATAAGAATAATTCTGCTCTAGACTTAGCCTTAACAGCCTATTGTATGTCATAAAGTATTAAACAGCAAAAGAATAGCTTATAAGGATATAAAGAAAACACTCCAATCAATGAATTGATTAGAGTGCTTTCTATCTGTTCAAATTAATACAATCTATACCAAATACACACAATAGATATTTATAAATTGCCATAATTCTCATTTACTTTACATAGCCATTTCTAATTCATATGTTTTCTTCCATTTTCTAGTGCCGCCCTCGTACGAAGATGCCATGGCTCTGAGCGAAAAGTTTAGCGATGATATCGAATTCCTGACAAATGTTAGCATGAGCAGCATTTTGTCCGCTCAGGGCGACGTAACAAGTGAGCGTGAGCCCTTTAAACCGCGTTACCCGGTCTATTACGATTACGAGACACCGACCATACCGCCCGGTAGTGATGATTCCACTGAATCCGACACATAAAAACTAAATTGTTAAAAAAAAAGAACTGTTAAAACAAAATGAAAATCGAAAGCAAAGCTAAAAAAAATTGAATGGCTGAGTGGCATTTTATTCAAATCTCTTTCTTTTATTCCATTTTTAAAGTAGTTAGACAAATTTTCTCTATAAGCTTAAGAACTGCAAGGCGTTGGGTAAGAGCAAAAATGCCTTTTACAATGTCCGATAGCTTATAGATCAATTAACTTGCTAAGATGTATATAATACGAAGTCAAATAATTCCAATTGTCTGCTTCGAGAATAAGAATTTACTTTTTGAAGAACTTATACACATCATATAGTCAAATATATACGATTAACCATATCTATATACATACATCCTAAGAGCCTTGTTTACCTCTCTGATTCGTTCCGATTGTCCCTTCTGTCCAGATCTTGAGCCCCAGCGCCTTGCAAATGACATTTTATTCCTTTAATTAAAATGTTTGAACTGCACGCCATATTTATATAAAAAAATATATTGAAATTTCTGATAAGTATCATATAACAATATCTATTCATATATCAATATTAAGTATGTATGTTTGCTCTGTTGTTTGATTTTATTCATTAAAAACTTTTTGAATTGATAAACCAACTCTATACATATATATGACATATTAATTATAAGAATATTGACAAATTATTAAATTTGTGCTTAGCAACTAAGTTGATAATATATAATTTAAATGATATTTTTTAATATGCAATAAGCCTTTATTCACTTTCATTAAGTAGTTTTGCATTTTTATTCTGGAAACAAATTACTTCTAGCCTTAAGCCACACCCAAGGGTTTCACAAATATACTCAATTTGTAAATTTATTCTTTTGTTATCGTTTCCCCCCCTAAATTCCGTGCCCCCTATACATGCTTCATTTGAACAACAACTACAGAGACGCTCTACAGTGAAAGCTCGAACACGCAGATTCGCTACGCCGTGCCACAGGAAACGGATGAGAATGGAACGAATGAACAAGGAACAGCTGATCTATTGAACTGCGAGAAAAAGTGAAGCTGAATGCTTCAGTAGCGCATACAAAAACATATTTAATCAAAATCTCAAAGTCGAATTAATCGAATTCAAACAAATTGCAAATATTTCTTGGCCCATATATACTAGTTTCTAAGTCTGATCTGGAGTAACAATAGTCAACGGTTTTGCAAGCCGGATATATAAAAAATATATACAATGTAGAGCGCATAAATTAATCAAAATCTATTCAACATTCTATCGAGCAATAAAAAAGTATTTGTTTTTCTCTTCCATTTTTATTTTAATACTTTGACTCCAATTCTAGTTCAAGAAAACATTTCTTTACTTTTTATATTCCAATGCAATGCTAACAATTTATTGATCTAGCGCTGACAGCATACGATGATACTTACCATATAAAGTAATTAACGTAGTTAATCCATACTTAGTCAAAACTTTTAGTCTTAAGCAAAATATATAAACAATTGCACAATTTTACCAAAAACAACAACAGTAAAAACAACAAACCTAACATTTTCAATGTTTATAATGTCTATTAACGAAATTTACACTTGAAATTAGCCAAGAATTAGACTATATAATTAAATTTTGAATTGATTTTATGTCCAAGTCCAAGTTCGACTTAACTTAAATGTACTTCTCAATATAATTGTCTTGTATTTACCTATCTATCTATCTAGCACATCATCATCGTAACTACATATAAATTGTCTAAATTTAGTTATATTTACGAACAATTTGAGGAAAAAGTCAAAATCACATTACTCTATGTTGATAAACTCGTGTATACTTCCCCTGATTTGTAACCAGTCTAACCAGTAACTAATCTTAAGGAAATATTCTGTCTTCAATTAACTCAAATTTCAACCAAAATGGAGCAATATATATAAATATATATTATTATATGTATATCCAAATTAATGTGTTTTGGTTTTGTTTATTGTGTTTGCAATTCATTTTAATTGAGCGCAATGAACTAGAGGGAATTCTGGATTATATCGTTCGCTGGGTAAGTGAGGTACTTGCTTTCAGGTATAAATTAATACGTATTTACTTATCTCAATCTGTATAAAAATACTAAGGGGCTAATTTGGGCTGCTATAAAACTTGATTAATGGGTATTTTAATTTGATTTTAATGACATATCTCTATGCTAGTATAGGTATACTAGCACTATCCATTATATCTCCATACCATTATATGTAAGTTTATTCATTTATCTGCCCTTGAATAACTGTATCTCAATAATTTAGGTTTATTATTTATGAAAGTGTCAATTTTAGCTCTACCTTTCTATGTATACCAAGTAGTATATTTATTTATTAAAATACAGGCTAATTTCAAGTGTATCAAGTGTATGTAATAGGTAGTGTACTGATATATAAGTTTATTATGAGTTTGTTACATCCGTAACTTCAATATATCTATGCACACTACTTGCAAGCTATCGGGGAGCTGAGGAGTATGTAATTGGATATCTGAATGCACTTAAACATGTGCAAGTGCTGCCCTTGAACTGGAGCTTATCGGAACTCGAAAATGAGAGAAACAGAGCCTATAAAATTGAATATCTGGGTTCGCTGCAATGCATGTAAACAATACCTTCAAATGGGAACGTATTGGGAGCTCATTGTATATACTTGAGAGTCATTTACAAAGAGCACATACGAGTTCATTCTAAATCGAATCAAGCAAAATTTATAAATCTAACTCTATTTATGTTATTTAAATTGATATTAAAATTGATTTTTTTTTTCTTTTATAGAGTAAAAAAATATATAATTCCATTTAGTTATTATAGATTTTAAAATTATAATAATTAAATTATTTATCTGTTGCTTTCGATATTAGCATTTATTTTTGAATTGGTATTAGTTTATAAATTTGATGTAAATACCAAAATAATTGAATTATAATTTTAAAAAAAAGGAAACAAAGTTTTTTTTAAAATTAAAATTTAATATTTATTTTATTATAATTTTTTTACATATTTTATATAATCATTATAAAAATTAGATGACTGCATTATTATTATTATTTTTTTTTTTAATATGAAATATTTCGTCATATAAATTGTCTGTTGAATATATATTTAATACTCTTTAATACCATAAACATAGGAATAGGAGGCTCAAAAGAAAATTCATGAAAATGCCTGGTGTGCTTTGCAATATACGTCTCTGACTTTGATACCAGCTTCTCACAGTACGTTCCCATTCATTTCAATTTTGATTTTAGTATAGTTCAGATTTTTAAAAAAAGTTAAACTTTTAGATATTCCCGCGGAGACATTTCAATACATTTTCTTTTTACTGCGTACGAGTTTCGGTGAAAAACAAGTGCACAAACCATTCGAACCAGTTTGTTCAAACGCATTCAAGTTGGCAGCTCAACAGGTTGGGAAAAATCAGAGCCAGCAACTGTGCGGCTAATCTCCCTAGAAATATAAAATAATAAAATAGAATAATATTCTTATAAATAATAACGTGCAGGGACTTGCGGCGCTATCGTAAACTCAAATTTATCTTTAGCTTTTTATAATTTCATAAACAATTGAAAAAACAACAACAGCAACAACAACAAACAACCAACAAAACATTTGCCAAAGTGGTTGCCGTTGTCGTGTGTCGTTTCCCGTTTGCCATTGCCACTCGCGCTTCGTCTGCTGAACAGCTCGCACTTGAATTTTATCGCGTGCCGCAAATAGGCAAAGCTGATTTCGAGTCTGAATACCCTGTAATTTGCAGAATGCCCAGCAATTGCGAAATTTGTTTGACGCGCACATCGGCGGTCTACTACACTGGCGAACACATTACGGGCTGGATAAATCTGATCGCCAGCAAAAAGCCTCTGCATGTGGAAGGTGAGTTCAATTGGCAAATGGTTTTAGCGTGTTGACCTGCAACTGATAACGATGCGACGATAACGATGCGATTCTCCACTTGCACAGCGCTCAGTATCAGCTTGCGGTGCCTCAGCACAGTTGGCTGGCAGGAGGTGGACTCCAGGTTGCCACAGATCGTGCACAATGACAGCGAGGCCATCAGGGAGCCCTCCTACATTAACTACACGGGCAGCAAATTGCACATGGAGAAGACGCAGCGGCTGTTGGAGGCCGTCAGCCTGCGTCCGCGGGGCACCGAGCGCCGCAACTTCGAATTCCAGTTGCCAAGCGAGCTGCCCGCCAATTGCCGCCTGCCCCTGGGCCACACCAGCTACGCGCTGCAAGTGCGCTTGCAACGCCGCGGCAAGCACGACAAGATATTCGAGAGGAGTTTGTGTGTGAAGCGACGCATTGAGATGCGCGAATTGCGGCCGGCCACCAACTCGAGCGTCAGCTTGAGGCTGCACTTGTCGCGCAGCGTCTACGTGCCCGGCCAGCGCATTGCCTTCGAGTTGCAGCCCACAGAGCCTGCCGCATGCCGCACCTGTCTCTGCCAGGTGATTACCTATCGCAGCGACAAGCCCGTGGTCAAAGAGAAGCGCGTAGAGCGCGTGCTCGACGAGAGCTTCGATTGGGCCGGCGTCCTCCATCTGCCGCTCTTCACGCCCCTTATGACGCAGTTGCAAGGCGAGCCCATCGAGATCTCTTACTTTGTGGAGGCAGGCAGCAGCCTCTGCAGGCAGCCATTACGCTTGCCTCTGTGGGTGGGCAGTGTGGCGCCACCTATGGACGGCACTGCGGACGCTCGAGCGGACAGTCCGGGTCTTGGATACGACAATTTGGGTAAGTGTTTGCCAAATGCGGACGCAGGGCCTAACGATGTTTACACAACTGCTATGCTCTTAGCTTTGATACCCTGAAACCATTAGAAATGCTTAGTGAGGGTATAATAGCTATGTGGCAATATATGCAACAGGAGGTGTGGCAGACGTCATAAAATATACATATTCGAGCTTAGGACATATATGCATCTTATAAAACTAAGAGGTCGTAAATTTTAAATGCATTTTCGTGCATGCCCTACTAGGAAGGAGTTTAAAATTTATTTTTCTAAAACTCATCTTATTTATAATCGATAAAAATCGATAAACTGAACTAAACTTCTTCGAAACACTCTTAGTTTTGCCCATAAGTTGGCTTGTATAGAGTATAGTAGCACTCTAAATATTTTGAATAGCTAGAGCGAACAATGCACACATCTGGATATCATCATTATGACTATAACATTTCAGTAGAAAAATGCATTTTTTTGAACAGAAGTTTATAAACAGTTGTTTTCCCATGAATGCGCAATTTATATTATTATATATTAATTACACATACATATAAATACATACATATATCAGCACATTGCAGGGTTCAGGGTATTTCCATGTCGATCAGCACTGACTTGATTACTGTTGACTATTTTACCCTAAAGCAAAAAGCTAAGAGGAGGCGTTTTATATGTTTTTCATCAATTTTAGTTATCTCCCTCTTCTTCACATTTTAAATGTATTTATCGAATTGGATTAAATATAATCAATCTTATCCGCGTGTATATATAAGTACTCAGATTATAATTCTTAAAGCCGTATACATACTTTTACACTTACTAATGAAAGTACTAATCTGAATCAATAAATTTAACTATTTAATTCTTTTAATCATACTTATTTTATTCGTTTAATTGACTATAATAAGAGCACATTTATATACTTACAGCTTTTCTGTTTTCAATCTATTTTCCAGCTTTGAGTGAAAACGATTCACTTGGTGCAGCGATCTCCGAGCTGCCGCGCCACAATTTGAACAGTGAATTCCGGCCACCAAGAAAGACCGGACACGGCGACCAACTAAAACGGCGAAGGCGCCATAGGAAACAGTCGTACATGCGTTTAGCCTGGCGCTACTTCTATGACAATCTCTTTCCCGGTAACTAACGACATGGCTGTGAGCTCGAAGTATTAAATTAATTGAAATAGGTGCGTGCAGGCTTTTAAATAAATTTTGGTGAAACGAAATGAAATCGCTGAGAATATATTTATATTTTTGCCGATAATATATACTATGTATCTAGCCGGGGCGGGAATTTATCGCTCATATGTATATAGGGTAAATTTATAGAAAAGCTGCATATTTGCACAGAATTTATCAACGCTGGATTTATCAACGCCTGCGTCAGCAAATCGAATTTCATTGATTAAATTTCATTGAGAGTCCAGTTCGTATATATAAAGCAACCCATAGGATCTCAGCTATACAAACAACTCGGACTAAAACGTGAGCAAATAATTAAATATACCGTTTTAAATATTGGATTTAATTAAATTTATTTAGAATGACTTAGATAATGATTATAATAATTAATGCTAATAAAAATAATTATACAAAAACAAATGCAATAATAATTATATTATTTTTTGAGAGATAGTAATTTATTATAATTTTTTTGTTTACACTTTTGCAGCTGAAGTAGCTAAAAATATTTTTAAGTTTTCATTCTAACGAGACGACATTTGCTGCTTTTCAATTACTCACTTGGGATGCCTTCCAAACTTCTATTTTATTTAACTGAGCACTGTGAGCAGTTCTTCTACCTGAGCAAAGTTATGGACTATCCTCCAAATATGATTGCCTTTTCTCTTTTGTCTAATTCTATTCATTGTCTATTGCAAAGATTGCCCTTTATTATTCGTGTTACTTTATAGCATTTAATGTCTATCTGCATATATCGTAAACATGAGTAGGCGAACTCCAAGCCATGCCCACGGAAATGTAGCTCCAGCCAAACAAACATATCGGTTCCCTCAATACTATGTGAGCCAAGCTTTCAAAGGTATTTATTTAGGTAAGGTTTTTTGGCTTCCTAATCGCAATTCAATCGGTCAGGGATAAGGATTAAAGACTAGCATTGCTGTTGGAAGTTAACGGATGAGCAACATCAACCATTGCGCCAATTATCATTATATAACGCTAAAATTTACGACCGCGAAAGTGAGAATGAAAGGAGTTATATGTAGTATTAATAATGATAATAATAATCAGTTGACAACAGTGATATTGACATTTTTATACCCTGAACCCATTGAAAATGGGAAATCAGGGTATAATGGTTTTGTTAAAT